GGTAAAATGAGGACCCGGATTGTTGTTGGGGGCGATATGCTGACTCTGTAAACCGCTTAGAGAGGCCTATGAAGCGGTATATAAGTCTAACTGCTAACTGCTATTGCGGAAAAAAACTTTTTTGGGCACTCAAGACTTCCTGGGAGTTTGGCCCAAGCTTTTCTTTTTATCCGCGCTCCCTGCGGGGAACAAAGGGATGCGAGATCACAAACGTGGGGAACCCCACGGCCGATGCCCTAAGGCAGTGGTCTCCAACCTTGGCAACTTTTAAGACTTGTGGACTTCCACTCCCAGAGTTCCTCAGCCAGCTTTGCTGGCTGAGGAACTCTGGGAGTTGAAGTCCACAAGTCTTAAAAGTTGCCAAGGTTGGAGACCACTGCCCTAAGGCATCCCCGCTCCCTCCACCACCCCCAGAGAGGGGGAAATCCGGGTGGGCCGTGGGCGAGAAGGCAGAGGAGGAGGAGGAAATCCCTTGGAGCGTGACGCCAGCCTAAACCTATAGGGCAAGGAACTAATACAGGCAGAGCAACTCTACTCCAAGGTTTCTACGTGCCACAATTCGTGCTCAAAGGACGCCCAAGCAAGAGACTTTCTCCCCCCCCCCCCAAGGCCAGAAACAGGCCCAAGAACGTGGAGAGAAGCTGGGAACGTCCTTAGGAGAGGGTCTCCCACCCACCCACCACCAACGCGGTGGGTGGGAGACCCTCTCCCAACGCCGGAGAGGTCTCCCCCCAACTCCCTCCCTGGCTTTTCCCTGCCTCCTTCGGCAGAAAAGTCTCCCTTTGGGAGTGGAAGGCTAAGAAGGAAAGGCGTCCCCCCCCCCCCACTCCGCGCGCTCACCGTGGAAGCCTTGGCCGGGGAGGCGAGGCGTTGCGTGCATCGGGGGTCCCCCCTGCAGCCCGGCCCGGAGCCGCCGCCGCCGCTGCTTGCAGCTCTGCCCCTTCTTGTCGGTCAGGCCTCTCTCTCCGCTCGGACGGCGTCCCGCCTTTCCACTCCTTCTTCTCCCTTCCTTCCTTCCTTCCCTCCCCGCCCCCGCTCCCTTCCTTAGACCCCGCGAACCGCTGCGCTCTCCAGAAACGGGGCCATGTCCCTTGGCGGGGAGAATGTATGTGTCTTTGCGTGTCTCTATGTGTGTGTCTATGTGTGTTACACACGCGCGCAGGCGCAATCCCGGTGTGCAAGGCCAGCGTCTGCCGCCGGGAGGACCCCCCCCCCCCGCAACCTCTCAAATCTGCACCGCTGACAAAATAAAGCCCGATGATGAATGGGGGGACGCGGGGATAAAGGGGAGGGGGCGAGAGAGACGCGGAGCCGCAGACACAGGCCTAAAGGAGAAGCGTGCAAGCCGTGCCTGAATTGCACGTGTGTATTGCTTGCAGACGATCCTTAAAAGGGAACAACGAGCCCCCGTCTGGGACGGCGAGGTCGGCTTCCTTAGAAACCTGCGAGTTGCCGCCTGGCTGCCTTAAAAAGAATCCGGCGCCAGCTATAGAAGATCAGGTCAAAACAAGGAAAGGAGTCCTTTAAAAAAAAGAAATAAAAAAAATTAGCTGAAGAACTAATCCAAAAGCGTCGGGTTTCATTGAGGTTGAGCGTGTGAACCCGAGGATTTGGGATTTTGATCGTAACGTTCGGGTGAAAAACTAACTCTTGCGATTGCCTTTTTCTAGCTAAACATTGTCAGCAGTAATTTCGCTGTTGTTATTAAACTATTTTAATGTTTTTTTTTACTTTAAAAAGTGTATTAAATGTTTAATAAAAATTAAAAAATACTTTTATTAAATTATTATTTTTAATTAAATTGTTTTAATAAATTATTTTATTAAAATTACTTTATTATTATTATTATTGTCATCGGTCTCTCAATAGCATCTGCTCTATCCTAGTTTGTGGATAGCCTACAAGAGACAGCCTCATTTCCCATGCAGAGAAAACTGCCCATTACTTCCCTCTACTGTTATTTTAATTAAATTATTTTATTACATTATTTTTATTAAAATTACTTTTTTACTATTATTATTATTATCATCGGTCTCTCAATAGCATCTGCTCTACCCTAGTTTGTAGATAGCCTACAAGAGACAGCCTCGTTTCCCATGCAGAGAAAACTTCCCATGACTTCCCTCTACTGTTAAAAACTAGCAAGGAAAAAAAAAAAGTCTTGTCGTCACAACACTGCTATGATTGGTAATGATGGTTAGATCTATGGTTTAGCCCAAGGGTAGTCAACCTTTTTATACCTACCGCCAGAGGTGTGTTCCTACCAGTTTGCACCTATTCGGTAGAACCGGTTCGTCAAATCTACCGAACCGGTTAGAAGAGGTTCCACCAGTGGACCCGGAAAGCAGGCCACACCTACAGAAGAGCTTCCAAAATTTTTTGAAACCCACCACTGGTCCTTGGATATGATTATTCTACACTATCATGCTCATATTTATAAAACTCAGTGCCTCTGTGAAAGGTAAGGATGACTACTGCGTTTGTGGTGCAATCAGAACATTGCGTGTGTTGAAGTTGTTTTAACGCAAACCAAAGATGCCTTTTAAAAAACAAGTTTACATCATATTCTTATGCATGCCAGTGCTGTGTGAGAGGTAATTTAAGGTGGTTCTAACAATTGTCGTCGGCATCTTCATATCCGGTCACATGGGCGGCAAGCCACTCCCATCCGGTCACATGGGTGGCAAGCCACTCCCACAAAGGAGGCCACACCCACAGAGTAGGTTCGAACAATTTTTGAAACCCACCACTGCCCACCACTAACACACACACACACACACATACACACACAGAGATAAAGAGAAAGGGAGGAAGAAAGAAAGAAAAAAGAAAGAAAAAGAGAGAGATGAAAGGAAAAAGGGACAGAGAGACAAAAGGAAGGAAAGAAAGAAAGAAAGAAAGAAAGAAAGAAAGAAAGAAAGAAAGAAAGAAAGAAAGAAAGAAAAACACATGGCCAACAAGCCACTCCCACCAGGTCACATGGCCGGCAAGCCACTCCCACAAAGGAGGCCACACCCACAGATTAGGTTCGAAAATTTTTTGAAACCCGCCTATCGCCCACTTTTGTACCTCTTGTTAGTAGTAAAATTTTCTAACTGCCCACTGGTTCCACAGTAATGGTGACTTATAAAGTAAGGAAGTAACTTTATAAAATTCATAAAGCAGAGTTGGAGCAAACCCCTACCGGCCACCATGAAAGCTGGAACGCCCACTAGTGGGCGGTAGGGACCAGGTTGACTACCACTAGTTTAGCCCGTAATGTCAGAATTCCCTCCTTTGGGGCTGGATGTTCCGCTGTGGGGCTGGCAGAGGGAGTAGGGAAAGAGGGAAGCCAGAAGATTAGGACCAACCCAAATAAGAGCCTGGGGAAGGCTGTTGTATAACCCTACTCTTAACCTCTTCAGAACACCACTACTTATAGAACCTTACTCAACTGCATCCCCAAAGATAGCTGAAGGGCATGCAGAAGATTGCACAGGCCAGCTTTCCCGCACTCTATTGTGCAACCACCCCCACTTATCAATTGCTGACCTTCATGCTTTTGAGATAATAAGGCTTCTCTGGAACAGTCTGAATTCTAAAGCAGCTCCAGGTGCTGCCAGATGTGGTGGGAGGGCCTGCTAGAAAAGAGGAAACTCACTTGTCTGAAAATGTGTAGGATTCCCCTGCTCGAGTAGGTGGTTGGAACTAGAACTGTGATGGCAAACTTATGGCACGCGTGCCACAGGTGGCACACGGAGCCATATTTGGTGGCAAGCCAGCTTTTAGCTCCGGCGCGCATGCCAGCTGATTTTTCGCCCTTCCAGAGGAGCAAGGGAGACTGTTTTCGCCCTCCACAGGCTTCAGGAAAGCCTCCGGAGGCTAGGGAGGGCGAAAAACAGTCCCCAACAGGGAAATTGGAAATTCGTTCCTGATCTGGCCCCAGGCTCTTCACAGTGCAGCTGCTAGCTACAGGAGGCTTCTTCCCCAGGTTGTGCATGGTGATGTCCTCATGAAACCTGGGGAAGGAAGCTTCACATGGTCAGCAACTGCCTCCTGAAGGGCCAGGCTACCCATGCTTTGTCTGCAGTGGGACCAAGAAGATGGCAATGGTCAACTAGGACAACAGAGCACAGACAGCAGGGACTTTGGAGTGCCTGGGCAGCTGCAGGTAGGATATAGGCTGGGTTGGGTGGGGCCACCAGAGGCAGTGAATAGCCCGTTTGTGCCACACTGCTGAACCAGGCTGGAGCTGGACTTAGTTCTGCGCTGCAGCCCCAGTTTCAGTTTCAGTTTTGGTTTATTTGTATGCCGCCCTTCTCCAGGAGGGACTCAGGGCGGCGAACAACTCA